CAAAATAGACTATCCGTTGCATTTGCTTGCTTCAATTTTGAATGAAGATTGTGATTGAGGATTCCTCATTGGAATGGGTGTTTGGACATACCCACTTGTTTGAGGAGGGATTCCTTTTTCCACAGAATCCGTCTTCTAGCTGTTTTTTCAAGAATTCTGGACTGTAGCTCTTTACTCAGTTTGTCTTCTAGTGCTTGTTTGGGAATTCTGGACGAGCTCTTTAATTTGAGAGGTCCAGATTTTGTCTTCAAGTCATTTGTTCTTGAATCAGCATAATTATCTTCAATCTAGCCGTTGAAAATCAAGGGATTGATTTTTCCTTACCAACGGGTAGAATTTCTTCATTCAAGACTTAGATAATTTTCTAAGTCTTTTATCACTTGTCTACTTTCTGAGAGTTCCGGTCTTTCTTTGAGGCATCCGGTTCTTTGCTGACAAATCCGAGGAGTCATTCATAGACTTCCGGGTGAGAAAGAGATCCGCCAGTCTTCCGATTTTGATGACTTAGCCTTCAGAGAGTTGTAGCGAGACATCCGGTTATCATGTAGTGTTCCGAATTAGAGAATCTTCAATTGCTTTGAGAATTCCTTACTTGTCTCTGACATTTTCGAACAAGATATCCAATTTCCATATCACTGAATTTGATTAAGTCTTCAAGCATCAAACCACTTAAAGAAATATCACAGTTTCATTGGAAATCTCAAGGACTCGGTTTTAACAATATTTCTAAAAAGAAAAATTACATTAAATATTGGGGGAGGCCTAAAGTTCCTATTACAATCTAAATACATCATCATCAAAATCTATAATATTTTCCCAACAATTTCCCCTTTTTGATGATGACAAACAAGTGTTTAAGAGTTCCGGTCGCTGTACTGAGAACTAATTTTATAACTTTCTTTTAGTTTCTCATAATATACAGCTTGTTAACAAAAACTCTTAAACAAATACAATTCAAATTACAATAATTCCTAAACCAAGTCTTGTCTTGAGATTTGTGATATTTTCTGCCATTTGCCGCTTTCACTTCCAGCAGATTTTGCTTGGTAGTACAGATGGCTGTGCGTTTGGTAGATCTTTAATATCCAAAGTGGATATTTGAGATCTAGGAAGCAACATCTCTCCAAAAAGCAAAAGCAAGAACAAAAAGAAAGTGGAGGGAAAGGAGGCGGCGGTGAAAAGAAAGAAAAAGGCAGAAGGAAAAGAAAAAGGTTTTGGAAAAGTGAATTGATTGTGAAAAAGATAAAATAAGGGTTTTTAAAGATGATAAAAAAAATTTGAAGAAGAGTTTAAAGGAGAAATATGGTAAAAAAAATTTTGAAAAATGCTTGAGAGAAGGGAGCAGAGACTGCACAAAAATTTTGAAAAATGCTTGGGAGAAGGGTGCAGAGACTGCTTAAAAATTAAAATTTGAATAACAGGAAAAGAGAAAGAGAGAAAAATGAAAGAAAATGGAGATAGTGTTGTTCCAGAGAAGGTGTATGGTGTAATCCTGAAAAATACGAGATTTCCACCACAGACCTTCTCTACTGCCGAGATTTTCACCATAGACCTTGAATGCCTTTTCTTCTCATTAGGCTTTCTCCATTGCCGTCTATGAGGGTGAGAAAGAAAAATTTCTCCATTGAGGATATTTTTCTTGGTGTTTTTCTCAGACAGTGAGTTTGAAGACTTTTCATATTGAGAGAGTTGTTTGTGATAGGAATGGATTGGAATGTCTTGATTTAAATAGGAGGAGAGGATGAGAGATGGGAGGTTCACGGGTTCCATTAAGTGGGTAGTTGGAACAGTGAGAGTAAAAGAGTTTCAACTTCCAAGAAGTTGAAAAGTGGAAGGAATCTTTTACCAGTTACCAAAGTGTTGAAACTGTTCCAATTACAAATCAGTTTCGTTTGGTTTGAAAAACGTAACTGTTCTGGTTTGGCTAAGCCCAAAAGAGTGGCCCAAAAAAAAATCTATGCACTAAAGGGAAATTATTCCTATTGGGTTCTCAAGGCCCAAAATAAAACTATCATTTTTCATTCCCTATAGTTCTAATTTCTAATTAGGATGAGGTAGTACCAAAAAAATATGAAATTCATTTTTAAAAGAAAAAGTGGTACTATTTTTCCAAAGTCCTGTACATTATAAAAATCCTAAGGACCAGTACTTTTAGAGCAAGTTGGAAATGAACTAGGGATTAAATCTTAGTTTAAGAAGGCAGATTTTGTAAAGTACCTGAATCGGAGATCTCCAACTTTAGTACTTAAACTGAGGTATCCGTCTTCCATTGCTTAGGATTCATCAATAGTTCATTACCAAAAACAATTGTTAGCCAAAAACAGTTAAGTTCCCCCTGAATTACATTCCCCAGCGATAAATCTCAAAAATCATACTTAAAAATGAATATGATCAAGCATAATAAGCATGATTAAGAGAAGTATTAAGCAATGTTTAAAACAAAACAAGCAATGTTTAAACAAGAAGGTGTTTTCATCAAAACAAAATGTTGTTGTCACATACTTCCCCCTGGTTTGATGAAAAGAGCCTTCAGTGCTTCTTGCGCTAAGAAGATCCGACAATCTCACCAATGCCTTGCATATTTCCACACTGTTCTCTGATGCGCCTGAGGTTGTGGTATCTCTCCTTTGTGTGGGCATCATTTGAGAAGTGGGAGGCAATGGTTCCTACAGCTTCTGTTCCATCTAGACTTGAGCTAGACAGATGCTGTGCTAAGTTCTCCGGATTGCTCCGCTGAGCTTCAAGGATCAAATCAGTCATCTTTAGATGCGATGGAATGTAGGTAAGTTCTCCTTGCTTGACTTCAATTGGAAGCTCTGGAATCAGGGATGGACTGTTGTGTTGGACAATGACTTCCAACTTGGGATTGCCAGTGTGGGTGCCAAAGTGTCTGAACAGTCTGAAAGCTTCCTTCTGATTTTCAAGAATAACCTTCAAGTAGTCTTTGGTTACTACCTGATTTGCTGAAGACACTGCCAGGGCGGACCTAAAGTCCATCTGGAGAAAGGACATCTGCTTCTGTAGACTCACTATGACTGTTGCAATCTGCTCTTTGATTTTATTAACCTCTTTGAGTTGTAGATGACAGTGAGATGCATACGCCTCCATTGTGGTGCTCACAGAGTCACTCAATAGAGAGATGATCTCTAGAGTCTTGTCCACCGATGTGCTTATCTCCTTGAGATCTGAGCAATGTTTTTCTTCGGTTTTCTCCATTAGCTTGTTATACCTAGCTTCCATCTTTTCTATCTCTTGCCTAAAAGAGGCATGCTGAGACGCTAGGGCTGATTCAATCAACCCTTGGACCTTTCTTGTCCAGGTTTCCGGTACCTCATCCGGTAGAGTAGAATTGGAAGAGCTGTGAAAATGGAAGTTTGTTACCTGATGAGAAGGAGGTGCTCTGTGGAAGAGTTGCAAAGGGAGGGATTCAGCATATCCTTGCTCAGCTCCTTCATCATCAATCCTTAGCGTCTTTTCCGATTCTTCCTCTGTCTCATTCATGAATTTTGAGATGTCCCTTGAAAGAGAATCTCTGTCTTCATCACCGATGTTCTGCTCAAAAATAGCAACTGGAGTTTCAGAGGTCTCCAGTCCATCTATTTGAGCTTCCTTTTCAGCTTCTGCAGAACTCCTCTAGAATTCTACAGCTTGGTCTTCTTGAACTTCATTTGCAGTTGTGTCTAGAGGGGTGGAATTCTCCAAATTTCCAGTAGACTTCTCCAGAATCTCAAGTTCAGGCTGATTGGAGACCTCACAAGGAGTTGTGAGAATCTCTTGAACTTGAGATTGGAGGAGTTGATGAAGTTCTTCTTCTGAGGCTTCCTGGTGCTGTTCTCGTTGGGGAGAAGCTGCATTCTCCTGGAAAGCTTCAGGCAGAACAGTCTCAAAAGCAGGGGAGGTTTCTGGAAAAATTTGGAAATCCTCTGCTGTGGCTTCCATATCTGCTTGTGCTTTAGTGGTAAGAGCCATCTGATCTTCTGTGGCCTTTGAAAAGATTGGCCTGTAGACTGAGGGATCTTCATTGCCAACCTCAAATTTTGAAACTGGTGAGGTGACCAAGTATTCTAGATGCAAATCTTCATAGTTCCTTTGCCATACCAGTCAACATCCAGGATTTGCTCACAACAATAGTTGACTGGCAGACCCAAGCATCTTTTGATTATCTTTTCATTTTTCAGTTGTTGGTCCCATCCCAACAACTGTTCTGCTGAGTTCCCAACCTTCCAAGCTCTCCAGTCATAATAGAGCTGCCAGAATTGGTTCTCAGCATCATCAATTTGAGCCTGTGATGAAGGAGTTGGAAAACTGTGAACTTGAGGAATTTCTTCATCAAGTTGTTGAGGGCTCTGGTTGTGAGCAGAGATTTCCTCAACTGGTTCCTTTCCCACCAACTCATCCGGGTTGGCATTTCCAGATGTTGAGGGAGAGGTGATTTTCGTTTTCTTCTTCCTTTGTAGTTTCCCTTGGGTAGAAACTTCTTCTTCTTCTTCCAGATTCAACAATGCTAGATTCTGTGGTGCTTTAGCACTGGGAGAGGGAGACACCACTTGCTTCCTTTTTACTGACTTCTTCAGACTCATGATAAGGACATTGTCTGAAGAACTTTCCTCTGCAGTTGCACTAGTACCAGCTCTGTTTTCCCCTTTGAAAGACAGATAGTATAGCCAATATTTGGCATCATACTTCTTGCCTTTAGAGGCAACGCCCATGGACTCCAAGATGTACCCAAGGTACAGTCCTTGACACAAATATTTCTGTTTGGGCTTTCCTAAGTGCTTGGAAATGGAATTGAAGAAATGTGCAGCCCAATTTACCTTAGATTTGGTGATGAGGGCGTTGATGATGAAGGCCCTTTCTTGAGTGATGTCATTAGCATGTCCTCCACTTCCACACTCAAGGCATGCGATGACCAGCTCCAGGACTAATTTGTAGTCGTTGTTCAGGTCTGCTTTCTTCGCTGGGCCAGAGGGGATTTGTCCAGAAATCCCAATGGTTTTCCAGTCCAGATTCTTAGCTAGAAGTCTCCCAATTTCACTTCCAGAATTGGGAAGATGAAGCTTTTCGTCCAATTTCTTCTGCGAAATCTTCACTTTGGCTCCTCCAACAGTGGACTTGATAATTTGAAGCGTCCTCTGTGGGTTCTTCTTCGATTGAACAATCTTGACCTTTCCGTTCCGGTAGAATTCAAGAACTTCACCTTCATACTTGGAGTGAATCTCCATATGAAGGAATTCGGTAAGTTCTTGGGCGGCAATCATCTCCAGATAACTTTGATAGAACGCCGGTGAAGAGCATTTTGCTTCCAATTTCTAGAAATGGACATTAGCGCCAACAATCTTCATTTTCTCAGAAATTTAAGTGAGAGAATCTGAAGAAATTAGGGTTCTTGAGAATTTTATCAGAGAGTTCTTGTGAAGAAGATGACGAAAATTTTGAGTGGGCAACTATAGTGGCGATTGGGTTTAATTTGGGCGATTTATGCGGCTAGTGGCGATTGGGATTTCAACTGTTCCCAAGGCCACGTGCCTACCCACTACTTTGACAGACGTGGAGAGTGGGCTGCCACGTGTACCGCACTCTGTCTAATTGAATTAGACCAATTTTGTGAAGCAAATCGGAAAACTTGGCTTCACTTAGTGGTTTTGTGAAGATATCCGCCAATTGTTCTTCAATTGAGATATACTCAATTTTGATATCTTTCTTTTCCACATGATCTCTGATGAAGTGATGCTTGACATCAATGTGCTTAGTGCAAGAGTGATGCACTGGATTTTGTGAGATGGCTATAGCACTTTGATTGTCACTTCTTTTGTTTTGACTCCATAGTCCAGTAGTTGTTGCTTTAGCCACAAGATCTGAGCACAACAACTACCAGCAGCAATGTACTCTGCTTCTGCTGTTGAAGTAGAGATGGAGTTTTGTTTCTTACTGAACCAAGAAACAAGATTTCCGCCAATGAATTGACAAGTACCAGGTGTACTCTTCCGGTCAACTTTGCATCCGGCAAAGTCAGAATCTGAGTATCCCACTAACTCAAATGAACTGCTCTTAGCATACCATAAACCCATGTTCTGAGTTCCTTTGAGGTATCTAAGAATCCTTTTGGCTGCTATAAGATGACTTTCCTTTGGCTTTGACTGGAATCTGGCACAAACACCTACTGCATATGAGATATCCGGACGGCTTGCAGTGAGGTAGAGTAGAGATCCAACTTTTCCTCTGTAGAGAGTTTGATCAACATCCTTTCCATCTACATCCATATCAAGTTTGGTGGATGTACTCATGGGGACAGAAACGGGTGACTTCTGATCAACTTTGAATTTCTTGATAAGATCCCTTGTGTACTTGGCTTGGTTGATGAGAGTCCCTTCACTTATCTGTTTGATTTGAAGACCAAGGAAGTAGTTGAGTTCCCCCATCATGCTCATCTCAAATTTTCCTTGCATGAGGGTGGAGAACTTGGTGCAAAGAGCTTCCTTAGTTGAACCAAATATGATGTCGTCCACATAGATTTGGACTAATAAGAGATCTTCTCCATATTGAAGTTTGAATAAGGTTTTGTCGATGACTCCTTTGATGAATCCATTGTCTCTAAGAAATTGAGACAATGTATCATACCAAGCTCTTGGTGCTTGTTTGAGTCCATATAGAGCCTTTTTGAGTCTGTACACTTGATCACCTTTAGTACGTAACTCAAATCCCGGAGGTTGTTCCACATAAACTTCTTCCTCTAGGTTTCCGTTGAGAAATGCGCTTTTGACATCCATTTGGTAGACCTTGAAGTCCTTATGAGCAGAAAAGGATAGAAATAGCCTTATAGCTTCAAGTCTAGCAACTGGAGCGAAGGTTTCATAAAAATTTATACCTTCTTCTTGACAATAACCTTTGGCAACCAACCGGGCTTTGTTTCTGACAACAACGCCGTTTTCATCCATCTTGTTCCGGAAGACCCACTTTGTCCCAATGACATGTTGATGAGTAGGTCTGGGAACAAGTTTCCAGACGTCAATTCTGGTAAATTGGTTGAGTTCTTCTTGCATTGCATTGATCCAATCAGAATCGGCTAGAGCTTCTTCAATGCTTTTTGGTTCCACTTGTGAGATGAAACAAGCAAGCATAGCTTCTAGATTCTGTTGAGCACTCCTTGTGCGAACGCTAGATTGAATATCTCCAATGACTTGTTGAGGAGGATGATCCCTTAACCAACGAAGATTGTGTTGATTAGGATTGACTGGTTGATCTAGTTCAGCTTCTGGTTGAAGAACAGAGTTTGTTGGTGATTCCGGATGGATTGGCACTGGGTCGCCACTTCCGGAATTGTCGCCATTTGAGTGATCCGAAATAATGGAAGGCTGGCCATGATTTCCAGTAGGCTCAGCACTGTCTAAATCTGGATTTCTTTGTGAAGTCTTCAGTGGTAGACTTCTGAATGGAATGAACTCTGTAGACTTCATTCTATCTTCTTCATTGACTTCTTCATCCTTGTCTGAGAGATCCAGAACCTCATGATCATGCTTTGATGGCTTGCCAACTACATGTTTTTCATCAAAAATAACATGTATTGACTCTTCAGTGATCATGGTTCTTTTGTTGAAGACTCTGAACGCCTTGCTCACCATGGAATATCCTAAGAAGATGGCTTCATCTGATTTCTCATCAAAAGTGTTCAGATGATTCTTCCCATTGTTTAACACAAAGCACTTGCTCCGAAAAATATGGAAATATGATATATTAGGCTTTCTCCCATTCCACAGTTCATAGGGAGTTTTGTTGTGCCTTTTATAAATTATACTCCTATTTTGAGTATATCAAGCTGTGTTTACAGCTTCAGCCCAGAACCTCTTTGGCAAGAAAGCTTCGGCTAGCATGGTTCTTACTGCTTCCTTCAAGGTTCTGTTTCTTCCTTCAGCTACACCATTCTGTTGAGGTGTTCTTGATGCTGATGTCTGATGAAGAATTTCGTTTTCTTCACAATAATGAATGATGATTGCATTCAGGAATTCTGTGCCTTTGTCAGATATGATCTTCTGTAGTTTGTGAGCTTCCCTTGAGTTTCCTTCTTGCTGTTGAGAACGATTGTCCACGTGTATCTTGAGTAATCATCAACTACCACCAGGACATATTTCTTTGCACTTAGACTTATTGGAGTAATAGTTCCAAATAATTCCATGTGAACAAGACTTAGTATCCTTGTAGTTGAGGGTGCCGGTTTTGCCTTGAAAGTAGACTTGACTTGCTTTCCTTTTTCGCAAGCATCACAAATGCTTTCCTTCTTGAATACAGCTTTGGGAAGACCTTCTACTAGCCCTTCTTTGGATAGCTTGTTGAGGGTTTTGAAGTTGAGATGACTCAACCTCTTATGCCAAAGCCATAGAAGGTTAGCGTCACCTTTGCTGATTAGGCATGCTTCCTTGACATCGTCCCACATCACTTCATAGATGTTTCTGATTCTCTTTCCAGTGAGAATGACTTCATTTGTGGAGATGTTCTTGAGGGATGCCATGTCCTTGCAGAATTCCAAAGAATAACCTTTATCACAAAACTGACTTATGCTAAGAAGGTTATAGTTGAGACCTTCCACATAAGATATAGCTTGGATGGTTAGTCCTTTGTACACAAGATTTCCTAGCCCTTTAGTAAGGCCAAAATCATTGCTTTCTCCAAAAGTAACTCTTGGACCATCATAGGGGATTAGATTGCTCAAAAGGCTTGCATCACCCGTCATGTGTCTTGAACAGCCACTGTCTACGTACCAGACACCTGGGTACTTAGTGGCTTCCTGCATTAGGAGGAGGAAGATTTTAGTACCCAATTCAGTTTGGGTTCGGAATAGTTAATGGTGTGTGTCCCTACATCAAGTTTGAAGTTGCAGGGAATTTTCCTTGCATCTCTAAACTTGTTGGGACTGTAGTCATAGTTGTACGTAGGCATAAAATTTCCTACGAGCAGGTGGTGAAATTTCTTGTTTCCTCCTAGCAAACCTAGGTTGATAAGACCTATAGTTTTGTCTAGGTTGTGCATAGTGTGGCCTGTATCGGTTGTAAGCATACTTAGGTGGAACAAATAGTTTCTGGGGTGGAGTATGACTATATCTTGGCATAGTTCTCCACTCAGAATTTCTCGGAAAACTCCTATCTACCCCATAATGAGTATAGCCTCGTGTATATTGGGGGTTAGAAGGCTTTCTTTTGAAATTGTTTCCTTTTTGAGGTCTGTCCAGCTTCCTATAGTTCTTAGGATGGACTACCTTTTTGGGAACTTCTGTGGGTTTCTCCTTCTCTTTTCCTTTCTGCTTATTGGGTTTAGCAGTAGGTTTACGAGGGATGAAAGTTGTTCTCCCTTTCCTTTTGGAACTAGAGGGGTCAAACCCAAGTCCTTCACGACCCTTATGTTTGGTCGTTTCAAGAAGCTTATCCACTGCTTCTTTGGACTTAAGTATCCCTAGCTCTTTGTTGAGGGATTTCACCTTTTTAGAGAGAGATTCATTTTCAGCCTTGAGTTGAGTAATATCACTTAGTTGACTTTTCCGACCTTCAGTCAACATGAGATTCTCTTCACTCAATAGCTTGTTCTCCTCTATTAAGGATGAGTGTTTGAGATTTATTTCCTCACAATCTTCCATCATCTTTTTGAACTGGTCAAAAAGATTTTCAGAAGTTGGTATGCTTTCATAAGAAGATTAGCACGAGGTTTGTGAAGTTACCTCTTGATCAGCATTCTCCTTGGCCATCAGGCAGAGGGTGTCATCTTCTGACATAGTCCACCGATCCTCATGGTTGGACTTCTCAGCTCTGCGCTCCATGCAGACGAGGGCTTCTTTATCCGAGCTTGAGCTGGATGACTCGTCACTTTCAGCTGCAACCATTGCCTTCTTCTTCTTGTCGTTTCTTTCTCTTTCTCCGTACTTCTCCACTTTTGGGTACGAGCATGCTGACTTCCAATGGCCAGGCTTCCTGCAGTTATAACACAAATAGGATTCAGGAGGGGAGTCACTTACCTGTGGCTTTCCCTTGGATGGCCTTCTGACTGAGTCAGCTTTTTTGAAGAACTTCTTGAACTTCCGGAATTGCTTAACCATCATGGCAAATTCCTCATCGTAGTTCTCCATTTTTGAGCTTGATGGTTGGCTGGAGGAAGGTGTGTCACAGTTCCTTGGGCATGTCCCTTCACTTGATGGGACTCTTGGAGTTGTCATCAATGCCGTGGGGAAGGGAGTGACTTGTTCTTCCTTCTTCTTCTTCAGCTCCTGCTCATAGGTTCTGAGCGCATCAAGAAGACCTTGGACAGTGTAGTTTTCCAGGTTTCTTCCTTCTTCCATGGCTGTGGCTTTGGTGTACCACTCAGTTGGAAGAGATCTCAGTAACCTTACATTCTTTTCTTTGGGAGAAAGAATGTGGTTAAGTGATGCAAGATCATTTAAGATTTTGTGGAATCTTTTATCCAACATATCAAATGATTCTCCGGGAAGCATTTTGAAGCTTTTGAACTTCTCAAGCAGGACTTCTATCTTCTGCTTTCTTAGATCCTCTGATCCCTCACATAGCTTCCCAAGACCTTGCCATATCTCCATGGCAGTCTTGAGATGCTTGATCTTGGAGAAGGTGATGGGATCAAGTGTCTTGAAGATGGCTGCTTTGGCGACGTTGTCCAGATTATGCTTTTTGCAATCTCTATCATCCCATTTCTCCTTGGGCTTTGGAATGTACTAGACTACATCTGGAGTGGCTGGATTCCTCTCAGGATTCTCCATTTGAATTTTCAAGGGTCCATCCTCAAGCACCATCCACATGCAGTCGTGTAGAGCATAGAGGTGTGCTTCCATCATGATCTTCCAATCATCATAACCTAGAAGAGAAAACTTGGGCAAACCGTGATCCATATTGTTCACCATTTTGATCGCTTCTCGTTAATCTAAATGTAGATAGTGAGAAGTGTGCTCTGATACCAATTGGTGGTCCAAAAGTGGTGAGATACAAAGTCTAGAGGGGGGGGGGGTGAATAGACTTTGTTACAAATTTAAAACTTTTTTGTTTCTTTTAAAAACGTGAAAATGAATGTTAATATAAAGTTCTTGCGAACCTTAGATTGTGCGCGGAATTTGGTGGTTTAGTTGAGCAGTAATCAATATGGATGGGTTAGTTTTCACAGTTAATATAATATCAAGTATAAGTAAAGATAAAAGAGAGAGACACGCAAACTTTAACGAGGTTCGAAGGTGGGGTAATCCTTCTACGTCCTCAAAATCCACTATGTAGTTGGTTGTTGAATAATGAACCAACAATTATACTTGAGTGAATTTCTGTACTGTATATCTTCGCAAGGCCAATGTTGCTACAGCACTCGTGCTGGCTTTGTTGTTCCTCCGAAGGTCAAGCTTCTTCAACAACTGCAAGATCCGAATAATAGGACTTGCAAGATCAACTTGTAAGAAAGTTGATCTACGCCCTTTTTAATCAAGAAGTTCAATTAAAAGTTGTATCCTTCAACGTGGTGTGGTATTTGAGGCAAGGAAACCTTCAAGTGTTTACACTATAGCTCTTTGGAAGGAGGAGAAGTTTGCTTCTGGATAAGGACTTTAGAAATCTCTCTTTATCAAGCTTTTTAGGCTAACTGTGAATGAGATAGCTTTGTTGTTAGAGATTGCTTTTCTATGTCGTCGTGTATCTGTACGTATCTTCTCTAGTCTTCCAAGGATGCTATTTATAGCTGGATTGGGTAATCTATCCGTTGAAACAAAAATCTGATAGGCAACGTAAACGAACGAAGTTAAAACTTACTTCTAACACTAACTCCTAAGGAGTAACCTTACCCACAAACCTGTATGGGTGAACAAACTCCTCCCTAAGGAAAAAGGTGTCTTAGGCAGAAGATCGACAAAAAAGTTCTTAAGACCTGACATCGAGAAATGAGTCAAACAGAAGATCACGAACAAACCCTCTTCTGGACGAGCTCTTTAATTTGAGAGGTCCAGACTTTGTCTTCAAGTCATTTGTTCTTGAATCAGCATAATTATCTTCAATCTAGCAGTTGAAAATCAAGGGATTGATTTTTCCTTACCAACGGGTAGAATTTCTTCATTCAAGACTTAGATAATTTTCTAAGTCTTGTATCACTTGTCTGCTTTCTGAGAGTTCCGGTCTTTCTTTGAGGCATCCGGTTCTTTGCTGACAAATCCGAGGAGTCATTCATAGACTTCCGGGTGAGAAAGAGATCCGCGCTAGTCTTCCGATTTTGATGACTTAGCGTTCAGAGAGTTGTAGCGAGACATCCGGTTATTATGTAGTGTTCCGAATTAGAGAATCTTTAATTGCTTTGAGAATTCCTTACTTGTCTCTGACATTTTCGAACAAGATATCCAATTTCCATATCACTGAATTTGATTAAGTCTTCAAGCATCAAACCACTTAAAGAAATATCACAGTTTCATTGGAAATCTCAAGGACTCGATTTTAACAATATTTCCAAAAAGAAAAATTACATTAAATATTGGGGGAGGCCTAAAGTTCCTATTACAATCTAAATTCATCATCATCAAAATCTATAATATTTTCCCAACAACCTTTGACCGCCACTTGCCGCCGCCACACACCGCCAGTCGCCAGAATCTGCCGCCGCCACCGGTTGCCGGAATCCGCCACCGGCACCGCCAGCTGCCGCCGCCGCACACTGCCGGGCACTGGAATCTGCAGCTGCTGCGGGTCGCCGGAATCCGCCGTCGGCCATCGCCAGTCGCCGGAATCCGCCTCCGATCGCCGGAATCTGCCGCCGCCGATGGTTGCCTGAATCCGCCGCCGGCCGCCGGAATCTGCCGCCACCGCCGGTCGCCGGAATTCGCCACCAGCCGCCGCCGGTCGACGGAATCCTCCGCCGCCCCGCCGCTGGTCTCCGGCAACCGCCGCCGATGACCGGTGATGGAGAGGGGATAAATAAAACGGGGATGCAGGCATACAGGCATCAATTGCAGTGACCAGGGCCGAAGCCCAGCTTCCCATTTGCGACGTCGTATACCACATCGACGGTCTGCTGGTATAAGTATCCGTAAATGCCTATGTCTCTGGGGTCTTTGTTACGGACAAAGGCCAAGCACACCCAGGACAACGTGTTGTTGGCTGTAACCAGGACCCCGCTAGGCTGTCAGGTACAGTCAGATTCACGTTGTTGCTGAACTCGAACACTATGCTCGGTGCCTTGATATGAAATCACGCTGACGGAATCCCTCTCCATCCCCGTTTGATTATGTAAATTAAATAAATAAAATCAAATTTAAAAAAAATTAAAAGTAACATTTATTCGGTCCGGTCCCGGTCCGGTCCGGGTTTTACCGGTCCGGTCCCGGGCCGGTCCTTAGCTTAATCGGTCCAGTCCTCGATCCACCAAATATAAATACCCCTTATTCGGTCCCGGTCCGGTCCGGGTTTGACCCAATGAACACCCCTAGGCGTGATGGTGGATTTTGTTTGCCAGCAACATTTTTTATTAGTGTTTCGGTTTTAGATAAATTTTACTCCCTCCGTCCCAATTTAAATCGCTTGTTTTGACATTTGGGCATATTTAAGGAAAATAAAAAATAGAGTTGATTTTCCAAAATTGACATTACTTTTTAGGAGGGGTGATGATGAATGAGAAGATAAGGTGAAGAAGTGTGACTTATTTTAGGGGTAGTTTAGGTATTTTATTTTTAAAAGTTTACGAAAACAACTAATAGGCAACTTATTTTGGGACGGAGAAAAAAGGCAAACAGGCAATTTAAAATGGGACGGAGGGAGTAATAGTATTAAGACGGAGGGACCACAAAAGTTTAAGTCCTACATTAGAAAAGTCATTATGTTTTAGTCCTATTTAGTGCAAATTTTTTATATTTCTTAATACGAGTTGTTGCTTCATCCAAAGGATTTGAGCGCAACAACTATCGGCGGCAACGTATTCCGCTTCGGTTGTGGATAACGCAACACTGACTGCCGCCGATGGCGTACATGTTCGTTGTTGACGACGTGGATATACCCCCACCGGCACCCCACCATCATCAGCCAGGGCAACCGCTTCATTGCCCCTCCTGATCAGTTCAAGAAAGAGGTAATATATATATATATATATATATATATATATATATATATATATATATATATATATATATATATATATATATATATGATGGGATTAACCCGATCAGATGGTGGACCAAGAACGGAATATGAATTAGGAAGATATAATCACTCGATAATATTCTTTTATTATGTATTGACCTGTCTTCTTGTGACTTGCTTTACCATGGCGGGTTTTCCCCTTTTTATAGTACTTCTAATATTCCAATTAAAATTACACAAAATGGAAATGGATTATGGAGATCATGGGGTTGTGATTCCCCTTCTTTCCGGTCTCGTTCTCTTCCCATTTCGCCCATAACTCGACGATGTTGGCCACGTGTCCCATTCCCCTTTTGGACTGGGTCGCTTCGATTTACCTCGAGTTTGGGCCGTCTCCTTCCACTTGCCAAATACGAGATGACGGGCTTGGCCCGTCATCCCATCTGGTCTTATTCCTTTTGGGCCATTATGGGCCTCCATTTGGGCCTGAAGTCGGGTCTACTAGACCCGATATCCATCACAAGCCCCTAGTTTTCTGGCGACGTGTCGCTAGAAAACTAATGATGAGCCGCCTTCGATCTTCGTGTCGGATTAGAAACGTCGCACTCGAGTACCTCGGTTCCACCTTTCAACGGATAAATACCCTTTCTGGACTCATCTTCTTCCTCTCGCCACTGAATCTTAACCCGACCCGAATTCCGACTGCAATTTCCCCAAAATTCTCGTTTCCTTCTCCGGAATGGCCCCCACGAATCCTGAAACCTGGACCCATGGACCCTCCGTTATCAAAGAGAACGAACTCCAAGAGATGGCCGTGCTCCTGGGCAAGGGCTTCCGGGTCCACCATCCCGATGCCGTTGGGGGGATTAGTTTAACCTACAATCCAAATCCCTAGAAATATATGGTCATGCAGTACCACTCTGTGGAGAATGGATTTAGGTTGCCCCTCCACGGCCTGCTCCGCGACCTTTGCCTCCATTTTGGATTTGCTCCAGGTCAATTGACTGCCAACGCGCACAAGTACGTCGCGTCCTTCATCTTACGGTGCTGTGCCCTGGACAAAACCCCGACACTAGACGAATTTCTTCTCCTCTTCAGCATCGGTGGTTTCCCCTTTTACAGTCTATACCCCCACAATCATTTTCCCATTTTTGAGAAGGTCGAGCTCAAGATCGACAAATGGGCGCTTAAATACTTCGTCATTGAATTCCCGGCTCACAGCCCCATCGACCTGCCAGGTGTTGTCCTCCGCCGTTCTATTTCCCGGACGAAATTCGCCCCAGCAAACCTGGCGGAAGGGGTGTATAATGCTTTGAGGGAGAAGGAGGGTCTAATTTCCCACCACTCTCTTCAAGAAGCTAATCTGTACAAGAAGGCAGGGTTTTACTGCCTCCTGGGTCCTGACCCGATTCCTTTTGAGGAGGTGCCTTCCCCTGAGAGATCGAAGACTCCTTCTGCTGCAGAGTCCAACTCGGCTGCAAGTTCTTCTGGAGATCGGCCCCAAGGTGGTTCCAATACCTTAGTTGTGCGCAATCCGGATGCTGCTCTGAATGCTGTTCCTATCTCTGCCATCCCTGGGCTTAGGAGGCGCACTCTGTCCCAGAAACGGCCACAGGAAGGTCTCTTCGATGATGATTTCCTTCCCAAGAAAAACAAAGGTGATGGGACTTCCGTTCGCCCAGCCCCCTGTCCAACTCTTCTGGTACTCAGAATACCACTCCTGCTGCTACATCCGGGGTCCTGAAGTTTTCCCACCCGGATAGACTTGACTGTGAGGAAGAAGAGCCTAAAGACCAGTCTGCGCTCAAAAAACCCGCAACGCAGCCTCAGATTGAGGCGTCCGGTTCCTCGCCACCCGCCGCAACCACTCCCCCCGCAACGAACGAAGAGGGGATGAAGCAGAAAGAATCGGAGCCCTCCCCTGCAGCAGAGAGGGAGATCGAGGCACAGACTGAAACAGACGTCTCCCGCCCGGAGGAGAATGAGGCTGGAGAGCAGAGAGATGCTGGAGCCCCCTCAGAGATGGAGAGAGAGATTGAGAATCAACCGGAGCAGAAGGGACAGGGTTCTACGGCCACACTCCCAGCCCCCAACATCCCCATCCGGCGTAAGTTCACACCGCAAACTTACTCCGCTTTTACCGAGGGTTGGGAAGGCCTTTCCCGCGGTTTGAGATCCCTGCAGGCCTCCCATTGGAATATCCAGGCGAACCTGGAGAGGATGAGGGACTCAGTGCAGGGGCCCACAACTCTCCAGACTCGCCCCGACCTGCTTGCTCTCAATGCCCTGCACTTTATGGAGCAGGTACCCTTTCCTTTCGAAATTTTCCTTATCTTCTTTTAGGTTAGTCCTTTTCCTTGACTTCCCTATCCTTCTTTTTAGGCCCAGCAATCACTCCTCACTTTGACTGAGGAGTACCTGGGTGGAGCTTTAGGGAACTTCCGGGCTGCAATGCTCCTGAGGGAGAGGGATCTGGCTGCCAGGGCCTTGCAACAGAAATTCAACTCCCTGGAACAGCAGGTCCGGATCCTGCTAGAAGAGAATTCTCGGCTCAAGCTAGATGGCTCCACGGAGCTTGCACCTGAGAGATCCAAGGTCCAGTCCATGCAAGATCAGATTGCTAATTACCACAAGGAGACCCAAGATCTGGAAGTGCAGTTTGGTAGGTTCCGGGCACAAATCTCCCTCCTGGAATCAAGGGTCTCGGCTTCAGAAGACCAGGTAGGAAGTTTGAAAGCTGAGCTGGTTGAGAGGGAATCCCGGATCTCTAAGCTAGAGAATTCCCTCCAAGAGGCCAAGTATGAGGGTTCACGCCTTAACGAGCTTGCCCTGAAGCACATGGAGGTGAGACGGCTTGACCTCGAGAAGTTGAAGGGAGAGAGACAAGCTGCAAGTGAGCTCCGGGCAAAGGTGGATGAACAAGAGAAGATGGTCGCTGCTCATCAAGAGGAGGTGGCCACCCTGATTGCCCGTGCCAAAACCCTCTACGAAGAGGGACAATTTGACATGCAGCAATGCATCTACGGGGCAGTCTAGAGTGGTCTCCCAGAGAACCGCACTTTGGATGACTTCATCTCCTACTATGGGTTACCCCTCCCTCTTTCTCCCCCAGCTTCTCGTGCAGACCCGGGGCCTTGACTTTATCCCTCCTTGTTGACTGTCATATTTTGCCTTGTAATTATTTGGATTATGGTAAATTGATAACATCCGATGTATTTTTGTCCATGTAGACTCCTTTAGTAATCTGACTGTTCTCCTTTTGGTATTCTCGTTTTGCCCTAGGACTTAGCAGATTTTTTTTTACCCGCCTAGGCTTTGGGCTTAACCGCGTTCACAACGCACTGTTCCTCTTATTTACCATCGCGCTAAGCGGCTGGCCCACTTTAATTATGCCGGGCCCAACTCACCTTAGCCCAATGATAAGATAGTGGAACCCTAGCCCTCCTCGGGAATCCGCAACTGCCTCCCAATCGGATAAGCGCTTTGACTCCGCGTCCCTTGCCCTTCTCCTTTGGGATTACTCACCTATTTAAGGGGCTGGGCTAAGCCCTTTCCATACCACAATCAATCTCTCAACATGGCTAATAACGCCAATAGAGTTGTCTTCATTGATCTTACTATTTCTGATTCTTCTTCTGATTCTTCTTCGTTGGCATTCCCTTCACTTGGGTCCCCAACACCTGAGCTCTCTTCTGGGCCTTCTCTTGCCTCTGAACAATCAGTAACCTCCCCCTTGCCCAGGGAGGAGAATAACCCTCATCTCCCCCAACAGGTCTCGGGGAGTATCCCTCCGGGTCCCAGCGTGCTTCCTAACAGTGCCAGGGCTGAAGTCTCTTCTGGCTGTCCTGGCACTTCTCGTCCACAGAAGAGACGCAATCCCCACTCAAGAGCTTCCCGGCTGGTCTCCGGTGCGAGGCCTTCTTCTCAGAGTTCCCGTTCCCCTCAGCAGTTGCATGGACAGCCACCTGAGGAATGGGGGGACTATGACATGGGGGGAAACAGGCTTCCCTTTATACGCAGGGAAAAGGATGGGGCCTTCAGGGACCCACCCCCTCCTTCCGTATAAATGGAGATAGGCCTTGGATCCTTCCCTCATGCCCACCCGTCCTCCTGATCTGACTTCAGAGAGGCGACCGGAAGGTGCCAACGGGGGGAATGTCTTTCAATCCCAACCCGTTGGTTCCTCTCCATATCTTTTGAATGTCATCAAGAGAAAACGGTGGGCGCCTTCACAGGAATGACCGGATGGTATCCACGGGGATGGCTTTAGGTCCCAACCCGTTGGTACCATTCTAGTTCTTGTGAATTTCATGAAGTGTCTTCGGCGGACACTCTCCATGCCTTCCTGCCTTGAGGTTCTCTTTCTGGTTCAGGCAGGGAAGCAAGGGTCAGCGAATTCACTCCTTTAGATTCCAGAAGTGTCGATCCGCCTTGCTTTCAATTTTTTCTTCCGCAGTAGGATAGAAGTAGATCAGGGACAAAGTTCATTACTGTAACCCAAAAGAATGTAATTTTTCTGTTTGAGTTATTCAATGAAAATCTTTATCTCCTGTCTCTTTTTTGTTTCATGATAAGATCAGGGATAAGGCCCATCACTGTAACCCAAAAGAATGTAATCTTCTGTTTGAGCTATTTAATGGAAAGAGCCTTTATCGGCTGTCTTTTAATATTATTTTGTTGCACGTGCCGTCATCTGCATGGAGTAGAAGTCTATGTCTATTTAACTCCTTACCTTCCCAGGATAACGTCTTTTTCAAAGCGCAAATGGGCCCAATTAACTAGCCCATGCACTTTAGTGGCGAGAAATTCTTAGTCAAACTTTGGGAAAGCTTCGACCGTTCCTTTCACCAATCGTTCAATCTTTCACGCCTTTTAATTGCATTCATCAATTCCCAACTATCCCTTCCCCACTGACTATAAAATGGGAAAGGGCAATTAGTGGCCCGTCCATCACTTTCTGACTTCTTCACCATGGCAAGCAAGTCTGAGGGCAAAGTCATCATCGACTTAACCCTCTCTGGGACGTCTTCTTCTTCAGATAGTGACCTCCCCATCTCCCCAGCCCAGTCCAACGACATGGCCGGGTTGAATCCCGGCGAGTTCTCGAGGCTTTATCCGGCGCCCCGCCTTCCTGCACCTTCTCCTCCCAGTCCACCCAGGCTTTCCTCCGGGGAAATAGACTGGGACTCCATGACTCTTCAAGACTTCGCCTTGTACCAGAGGATGTGCAGGACTAAACTTGGACGCTCTGTACTAGCTATTGAAGCTGAACCTTCATGTGAAAGCCGGACTGCTCCTCCAAACCTGCAGAAGCCTTCCATCAATGGTTCTTCATTGGAGGGAGCAACCCCTCATCCCGGAACATGGGAAGACTATGACATATGGGAAACCGCTGATTCATCAACGCATCCCTCGTCAAAGAGAAGGAGCCCATGGAAGGGTCCCCCACCTCCATCTTGTTGACTGCATGGATGCAATAGGCCCTCCTTCAGTTCCTAGCCTTCTGCAAACCAAATTTCTTTTCCTTGTTTTGTATCAAGGGGCATTCACTTGCTCGGTCCAGAGGTTTTTCCCTCATTCCAAACTAATGAATGTTCCTTAATTTTGAAATAGGAATTATCATTGTAATTCAAAGATATACCTTCCGAATTAGCAATCGATAATTCCCTTAGTTTCTTCTCTTGTTTATTTCACTAGGAACCTTTATTGTGAACCACAAAATGTAAACCTTGGCCCATCAACATGGTCCTTAATGATCATTTCTTTGCACCTCTTTAAATGCAAGTACATAATTCATTCTCTATAATAAATCTCATCTTCCCGGGGTTTGGGAATACCTAGGGCCCTTATCATATCTGCCCCTGGCCTTCCCTTCCTCCGGGTTAAGGCATAATCTTATCTACCTTGGATCAGTTGAGCTCCAACCCTCGAAGTTTGTTTGCTCGGTTGATCTATACTAGTGGAATACTAAGCTTCAGCCCTCGAAGTCTGCTTGCTATTCTTCCTGAATTCCGGGTTGTAGTGGCCCTCGAAGTCCAATCCCAACCCTTCCTTCAATCTTGACGGAGGCATAAACTTCTCTACCTCCGGGGGG